AGTTTAAGCTACTGTCTTTCTGTAAGTGAGCCACGAGTGAATCCTGGAGCATTTTTCTGTCGTGGTGATTCTCCAGCACTTACCAGTAGGCTGTAAAATGCTGTTAATTTAAATACCCATATTCTTATTTGTATCTATTGTCTGTTCTTTCCTAAGGTGAACTGAAGGTACAAATACCATGGCTTCATTTGGTATTTGAATAAAATGGAGTATCTCTTCTTTCAAGTTGATTATGTAGGTGTTTTCATTGAGAAACAATTAGCAATTTTTTTTTTCAGACTTAAATTTTTGGGCTGTTCACATACCGAATTGTGCATAAAGCAGATGAGGTAATAAAGTGTCACCCTGCTGTCAGTGAAACTAAGAGCAATCACCTTTTTTTTTTTTTTTTTTTTTTTAAATGAGGACAGAGCTGTATTTAAAAGGAATGCATTTTAAATTCCAAAAGATGTCATTTTTTTCTGATTTGAAGTTGATTTGGGGTAGTAAGTCTCCCTAATTATTTACAAGACAGGTATTGCATCACTAACAGCCTTTCAGGCTCCAAATATCATCTTTCTTTTGGGGGAGAGATGACACCTTTCCTAGGAGAGAGAAGATAGTTCAGGTTCTGTGATAATTCAGTCTCCAGAGGGGACCAAGCGTGGTGGGCAAAACGTTCTGCTTTGCTTCCAATGTAAAGGTTTTGTGTAGGGGGAGACATCCAAGGCTTACTCACCAGGATTATTCATACATGGACTTCCATACTCTTCAGCAAACTGCTGAATGCACCTGCAGTTAAATAAGGTGAATTGACAGAGTAATCCAGCAGTGTGCTCTGTTCTTAGGAATGGTGTGACACAGACTGTCTTTAATTACGTGGTGCTGGGCACAGGGCGTTGGTTTCACTGAGGGCTGTGAATGATGATGTAATAGAAATTACATGGGACATGCAGGTATCGTCTCCACAAGCTGTTGGATCATTTTCTACCTACCCCCTTGGCTCACTGGTCCCCACAGGCTCTTCTCTTTGATTACAGACACTCTGTAAATTTTCAGTTTTACTCTTGCAGAATCCATGTTATGCCTGGAGTTGTCCACTCACTTATTGGACAAGATTAAAGGGGAAAATGTTAATTCTAAAGCACAAGTTTGTATACTAAAGGTTGGAGGGTTTGGGGTTTTTTTTGTCAGTTTGGAGTTTTTTATTCAATGTGTTTTAGACCATCTCTCCAGCTGCTTCAGCATTTTAGCCAGGCACAAGGCTGTCTCCTCAGCATCCACAGCCTATTAAGCCATTGGGCGTTTCGCTGTACATGCAGCTGTTGGAACCACGAGGGCACTATGCAACCTGTTCACTGCAATAATTTCCTTTTTATGTGGCTCCTGTCACTGGGATCAGACCCTGACTTACACTCTAAAATGTGGGACACAGGGTTATTCTTTTCTTCCTCACCTCCCCACTTACTTGCCACAGTTATTTGCACACATCGGTTGTATTTATGGTTTTATGTTGGTTTTCTTTATGCCGTTCTCTTTATTTTAAACCTTGAATAATTGCAGTAAATCATCTATAATGCAAAGTATGAATTGATGAAGTCTCTGCTACCTTGCCAATATGTTAGTGCTCTGCCTAGCCGTGTGTATAGCCTGGTACCTGTAACAGGACTTATTGCAGATCCGTTACAGCAATTCATTGGGGACAAAGCCTGGTGTAAGCATCCAGGTGGCACAGTTAGGGGCGGGGGACCTTGCTGGCTTGCTTGTTTGTTTTCAGACTGGTTTACACTAGCATGGCTTTCAAGTATGCATGAAATGTTCAGAGTTTTGTCCTGATGTTATTACAGAACACCTGTAATTACGAGATGCCTTATTTCTGTGTTTCTATATTATACCATGCATAGGTTTCTTTTAAGTTACTCTAAAAGTGTATTCTGTTTCATTATTATGTTTTTCCTTGGGGCACTGGATTTGTTGTTTGCTTTTGTTCCCTTTAATATATAAACCAGAAGGAAAGTGGCTAAAGCTGGTACTACTGTGTGGGGTCTTGTGGGGTTTTTATTCTTTCTTTTGAAGCCATAGTAGCATAGTTCCAAAGCTCTGCCTTGGTGTAGCTCGGAGGTACTGCAGTGATGTGAGACAGTCAGCAAGCACACGAGCTTGTATCACGAGAGCATCATACAGAAAATGCACTGAATTACCTGCTGATAAATAACTAACCTGGTGGGGAGGTGGGCATTTTTTGTCACTTTCCCACCACTTTCCCCTCCCATGACCTGCTTGCAGAACCCAGCCTTGTACATCTTTCACAGTGTGTCTGGGCGAGCGCAGGGGGTGAACCTTTGCTCAGGGATAATAGAAGCAAAACTGGTGTTAGCCAGGGCTTTGAGCAGTTCCAGTGTCGCAAGCGGCCATGGAGCCTCACAGGCAGTGCCACTGCAGCTGCTGGCACCGGCTGGATTTCGCTGCAGTACATCGGGCTCCTGCTCTGTGGGGGTTTCTGTAGAGGACAGTTTCTCCACTGGCTAGACAGACCCAGCGTGGTTTTATGAATATCCCTCCCTCCCCTGTCTCTCATATCTCTAGTATCTCTAGAACTCGTTGTGTGCATGTCCGTTGTTAAGGACGGGGAAGATAGCTTTAACTGGAAATTAGCTTTGTCACAGTGACCCCATTTGGAAGCTGTTCAAATTTTTGAATAGGTCTGCCTGGTAATTTATATAATTCCCAGTATGAGAGTGAACACATCTAACAAACGTCATGTTTCGGCTGTGTTCCATTGTGGTAAGATTTAATTTTAACTCTGAGGAAAATGGATGGTGGAGTCAGTGTTGAGAACTTGGGACAAGGTGGCTGCTGTAAATGCTAAACTAATACATGACCTTAAATTTTCTTTAAACAACTAAAATAATTCAGATTCATAGAAATTATGAAAGATATTGATTTGGTATTTAAAAAAAAATATTTTGGAAAAATGTTGGAATCCTGAATCAAGGTTTGTTGTGGGGTTTTTTTTTCTGGATTTGGGTCTGTACTGAGAATTCCAGTGAGAACAAAACTATTTTACATATTTGACAGAACAAAAAGCTTGCAAATAATAGACATACATATAAAATGCAAATAAATTGGATCATAAATTTTTTGGATATATGTCAGTTATAGGACAGGACATTCCTTTTTTTTTTCTCCATTCATTGGAGGGGGAAAAAAAAAGTGGAATGGGCGTTTTCTAGGAGAGCAATGTCATAATGCTGTGACTGTAACAAATAATATGTTTGATCTCTCAACCTTCTGTGTCAGCTGCTCCAGACACGTGTGTTGTTGGTGGGGAACAGTTAATACGCTGTAGCTTGTCTGCACTATGTCTCTTTCAGGAATTATTTTAGCGTGCGTGTGCGCTGGATACCAAGTGGTGAAGAACAAGCCTCGGTTGGTTTGGGTTGATTTGAGTCAGCTCAGTTTTATTTGGCTTAGGTGGTCTAGATTTTGGCTGTTCTGCTTCTCAATCACATTTAACCTCACTGGTCAGACGGGAAGAACACTAACTAAAATATGAGCACACTGTTGTATCCAGATGGATTAATTAATGAGTATTACACCTTGGACGAAAGCATTCATATAAGGCTGAAAGCTTTGAGGGTGGGTCTTTAAAGTTCCAGACTTCTGTCAGAAACATTTTCTGTTCTTGATTGAGAAAGCCCTAACAGAAGTGACAGGACTGGTAGCTGCTGTCATAGCCATAAGTTGAAAATAGAAAATGGTGTTTATTTGGTGCAGATAAAACTTCTTGCCGATACCAGTGCGTCAAGAGAGAGGGAATGGACAGTGCTCCCGATTTGTGGGTGTGCTTTGGGTTTTTGTACTGCTGACTACTGGTGTTAAATGCCTCTTGTAAGTATGTTAAATTGACATGGTTTTTTTGTTTTTTAACTGTTAGCTCTGTAACAAGCTTGGATAATATTGTTGTGTGACCAAATAACTCTCCCTAGAGACAAAAATATTGACATGACAAAACCACATTTAAAGAATGACTGTCTGGCCCTCCCTCCAGTTTGAACATAAGTTGATGTTGAAGTCGATGAAATGTAAATTTGCTGCATTGCTTTTTAGAAATTATATAACTTGCAGTGTGCATCAGTCTGCCAATTGCAGGGGGCTGAAGAAAACTTCATGGATTTATAAGATATTTTATAGGCTTTGGATTTAAAATTGCAGTGGTTGAAGGAAATGTGCATGTTACTGTTGATTAAATGTTTCCTTAAAACTTTGGGATAATATGTTACCAGTGTGTGATCATAAACCCACCTTGGTCTGTTCTATTTTGTTTAAGTTTCTTTTTTTCTGATGTTTCAATGTGTTATGTGCCGTCCACTGGTAGCTCAAGGAACAGGTGGTTGTATGACAACTGAGTATGCACTGGTGGTTAATCTTCCATTTTAAAAAAAGAAAGATGCATGAATTAACATTTACCAAATTCTGGTTTTTAAAATGTTTTCTTTGCCAAAAATAAACTATACTTGATTTTCTAGCTATGTATTAAATTTTCTTTGTCCTAACATAATACATTTGCATTCACAAAACCTCTTGAGTTTTATAAAGTCACTATTGCATTCCATAGTAGAAAAACTACACTTCAGAATATTTTTAGTATTTCTAGAAACGAGGTGTATCTTATTAAAATTGATAATTCAGTTTTTATTAGAAACAATATCAGAAATGCACCTATCACATAGCTTTGATGTAGAGATTCTGTAGATAAAATTATTCTTTCTCTTGGAGAGATTCAGAAGTAATAAAGATATTTTAATACCAATTTGTTTTGGTAAATGTTGTTGCTGATATTTGTGTTAGGGGACAGATACCTGTACTCCATTTCTGATTTCTGAATGCATCGAAGAAGATTTTAATTAAATACTACTCTGACTCTCAAATCTTTGTAGTAGTTGTGTATTTATATTATGCACACACAAATGCAGTAAAAATCAACTAATGTTTTAATATTACATCTACCTTTTCATCAGCTCCTGGGCTACAGTGAAAAGCCAGTAAACCTACAGATGTTCATCGGAACAGCAGATGATCGCTACTTGAGACCTCACGCGTTCTACCAGGTGCACCGAATCACTGGAAAAACAGTCGCAACAGCTAGTCAAGAGATAATCATTGCCAGCACCAAAGTTTTGGAAATACCCCTTCTTCCTGAAAATAACATGTCAGCCAGGTACGCTGCAGCTGTTTTGTTGCTATGTGGTTTGTTTGGTTTTTTTTCATTTGTAGAAGGTGAAAGAAAAATTGTGTAAAATAGCATCTTTTCCACAAATATGGGTCATGATTAAGACAGACACCTCTCTTTAAGCATGCCAATATTAAAAAAAAAATAAATAAATAACTGTCAGGTAGTCAGAAGTAAAGGAGTTAGGGAGACAGGGAAGCTGACACGAGTGACAGGGAGGTGGAGGGGTGCTTCTGGAATTGTACTTCCCCGTAACAATCCCCATCCATACATATGACTCTGCACTGTAGGTTACTGGCCGGTAGAGTTCTTGTTTGATTTTACTAAGACATGTGCCTTTTTTTCTATGAAAATACAGTCATACAGTTTAGTGGCTTGTTTCTTGATTGAATGTGGTGATTTCAAGCCTTTTCCTTGGTTTGATTGTGTTTTTATTTTTAGCAGTTACATTATTCTGACTTCAGGTCCTGCCAGATAGAATGTGCTAAATACTAGCTTCACAGGTAGTTACAGCAGCAGTGAAACAGTCAGTGAGCAGTAAAGCACCATTATGTGTTTATGTAACACTTTTATTTCTTACCGAGACTTCTGAAGTCAGCTTAGGTTTTCCTAGTTGCAGACATCATGCTGGTTCTGTTGAACGCTACGAACCCACATGATGTGCAAGATAACACCCCTCCCAAACTTAGGTATAGGTGGTACTTCATTAATGTGTGTGGCATATGAATAATGAGTAACTGTGGAATGGTAGGTGGGATTTGATGGCTTAACTTTGGTTGTTCTCTAGTCCTTCCTAAGGCAGAATTATAGGTCTCTAGCTCCTTGTAAATAATGTTTACTGTGTCCAGTAATTTCAAAGGTTAAACAATGTGCAATAACACATAATCTTGTAAAGGTTCAAAAAAGCAGCAGCTAGACATTTATGAGACAGAATGTTTCAACAGAATACTTGCTACCATTTTTGACATGAACAGATCTTTTAATCTCAGACATTTAAAATAAGATAACATGGGGAAAAACCAGAATGCTCTTCATTCTTTAACAAAAGAAAGGCTTACAGAGTATACTTTGGCAATAGTTTGATTCATTTTCTTCCATTTCTCTTCTAATCCATCCATCCTCACCAATCTCCAGTATCGATTGTGCTGGTATTTTGAAACTTCGCAATTCAGATATAGAGCTCCGTAAAGGAGAGACAGATATTGGAAGAAAGAATACCAGAGTGCGACTTGTGTTTCGTGTTCACATCCCACAACCTAGTGGAAAGGTCTTATCTCTGCAAACTGCTTCCATACCTGTTGAATGCTGTAAGATTGCTTTAACTCTACATAATTTATACTCTTTTTCTGCATGTGTCAGTAGTATTGTCATTCTGACAATATTTATTGTCAGAATTATGTATAACAAATGAATGAAAAAAGCATTTATGAAAAGAGCAAAATTACAAAAATTTAATATATATTTATTTAAAGATGGTGCTTGCCAAAAGGCAGCCTGAAGGTTTGGAGGAAAAACAACGTTTTGGGTTTTAAACCTAATAGTTCAGTCACACAGCGAGCGGCTTCAGTAGTTCCTGTATATGAGCAGAGGCAGCTGCTGTATCTCAATGATAATAAATACTCATTTCAGAATGAACTAATACCATTTCATTTACAACAGTCTGTACCATTACTTGGCTTTATACAGCACTACCTCATGAACAGCTGAACTTCGACAGTTCTTGTGTTAAATGCTGGCATTAAGGAGTCAAAAATATGACCTTAAACAATCTGCATTTCTCCTAGAATTCATTGTGCCTGTAAAATATTGAAGTAATTCTTAAGCCAATATTCCTAAACTAAAAATTTAATTTGCTGTAACAGTAGAGACTGTTGGGATTCATGGCTTTTGTGTGTTTCTTTTCTGTAATTGTATGATTTTAACATAGTTTTAACAACAAAGATCAGTCATACACAAATATGATTTATATATGTAAATAGATATTTTCATTTCACCCCTGATTCTTCAAGTTAGGATGATAAAAGAAATGTCACTATGATTCAAATTGTGAATAATAATTTTTCTTTTTTTAAAAAATTTTTTTTTAAAGCTCAGCGATCTGCTCAAGAGCTTCCTCAGATTGAGAAGTACAGCATCAATAGCTGCTCAGTAAACGGAGGCCATGAAATGGTGGTGACAGGATCCAATTTTGTTCCAGAATCCAAAATTATATTCTTTGAAAAAGGACAAGGTAAATAGTATCTTACCTTTTTTTCCTTGAAAACAAACAGAAGCACTACCTAAGCTTGATTTTAGGAAGTAAGGATTTAAAAAAAAAAAAAAAAAAAAAAAGTTAAGTCACAAGTAGTAATCTGAAACTTCAGTTTGGGCACTGACCTATATGCTGGTTGGTAATTATTAATGAAATAGTACTTGTGATTCAGGAAGATAATTACTGGCTAAGTTAGTTGAAAGATGCTGTTGATAGATCATACCCCGTATTTTCTCCTTGTTATTATAAAAAACTGAAAAAATAAGCATGGGAATTAATGGAAATGTACTATTTGTCACTGATGTCATGTTACATCTGATTTAATCACTGCATAGGAACAGACTTACTCCTGAGCTAATGAAGTAACAGTTAGAAAACACTACAGGTTTCTTTTTTCTTTCAGTATATTTGTGTAAGATTTTCTATAGAAGTTACTCTTCAAGGGATGCATATTTTAAAAAGTCTCAAGATCTGGCTCAGGTTAGGGCTGCAGCTGTGTCTGTGCCTCGTGTCCATCTGCAGTCAGGCAGGGGTGCAGGTGGATAAAGCACTGGCAGTCAGCGGTGGTATGAACAGCAGCCTTCTGTGCAAACATTTGTGTGCTTGACCAGCCAGCCGAGTATTTAATTGCCAAGAAATCAGAAATATTATAGTCAGTTACATTTCATGATTCTCATTGTCTGGAATGCAAGTTCAGTGTTCTAAGGAACACTCAGTCATGGGTGAGAACTGCAGCACATGTACATTAGTGAAGTTCAGTACTACACTGTAGGCACACACTTCAGTTAAAGCACACTAAAGAGACAGCATTGTCATGCAGTGACACGTTCAGAAAAAAATTAACTGCTTCCTACTGACCTCATGAAATGAAAAAAATATTCTTGGAGAGGGTAGTAGATTAAATCTTTCAGTCTAATATATAGGAAATAGAACCTCAAAGTAAGCAAGAAATTTGCAGATTTTGGATGAACATTTCTAACCCATCTTTCTTTAAAGGTAAGCACAGATGTGAAGGCTTTTTTTTTTTTTTAACCCATGTTCTAACTCTCTTCTTTCACTTTTGCAATGATACAGCTCCATAAACTAGAGAATTTAACACCAAAAATACTGTCAAGTACTTCTTAGTTTACTACAACTGGATATAATGAATGTTTTGCAAGTTTCCTTTGTTTTTGTTTTGTAGTGTACACAGGCACACACACACACACCAGTACATATATGTATGTGTTACTCAGAGGTGTTCAGTTACTCAGCATTCCTTGTGGTTCTGTAGCTCTTCTGCATATACATCTTGGTCTTAATGTTTCTCAAACTAAAATGCATGAAAAACAGTTGAAGATTTAGAGCTAGCTGTCTTAATACATAGAGTTCCTTTTTTTCCCTGATTGTCCCTTTAATATAGAGAGCATAAAATGTGAACATTAAATTAGCATTGCTGTGACCTGAATACCGATTTGAACTGTTTTTTAAAACAGTAGCAAAAGTAAGTCATTAAAAAAGAGAAGTTTGCAACCGAGTCCCATTCTTGTACATCTTATTATTTCCTGAAATATTTAAGTAAGAGTTGGGGCTTTTTTATTAGGGAATACTACATAAGTGAGGGTTTTATGTAATAATGTATTTTGGCACTCAGCTTGACTGCAGCTAGACAGTGTTCCCTGCTAACCTGTACAAAGCCCGGTAATCGAGAGAACCAAGTGCTAGATCAAGGCTAATGGGTTATGCTGGGTCAGAGCAGAGAGAGGTTCACCGAGGTGATTTACTCCCCCACAACACAGACAGCTTGTCAAGCATTTGAACTACAGGGTCTTTCGGTTCAGGGGCAGGTGTTTGTTTTAAATGTATAACCTGTGGGTATGTGCATGAAGATACGGCATATGTTATCTCTCACATGGTGACTTAACCTATACGTCATCAGCCCGTTTGTTTGAATAATCACAAGTGTTAGTAGTAATTTAACTACCTTTCAAAAATATTTTTAGGAAAAGGAGGAAAAAGAAAATCCCTCTGCACACTTACAGTACATGCTGCCTCCTCTGGAATTAAATCTAACTGAATGGAGTCAGCAGGTCCTGTTAAAATGCAGAGTCCTGCACAACAGTCAGCTTACAGACCATGGCTGTAGTGCTGAAACTCCTAAAGTATCTCGATACTTTACACTTTGTTTACAATATATCTGTAAGTCAAATGGCCTCTTTATGACTGAAATAAATGCAGATTTATATTAGGTATTTAAGTATTTTTAAGATAAAGTATTTAATTAAGTGTTTTAGAAAATGCTTTTTGCTTGAATTTGTAAATTTCTCTCAACAGATGGACGACCTCAGTGGGAGGTAGAAGGGAAAATAATTAGGGAAAAGTGTCAAGGGGTGAGCAACAATTTTTCTGCCTTTGGAAAGCTTTCTGTTTTAAGATGGGAAACTAGACATCTTCGTTGTTGTTCTGAAATTTAGACTTTATTTAGTAAAGTAAGTTGATCATTGGTTGATTCAGACAGACTACTGGAGACTTCTAAATTGGCTTAATACTATAAAGTAGCCATTAAGATGATACTTTGAAGGAACTGGAAGTAGTGTGCTTGTTGTAAAAGCAATGAGAAAAGAAATAGAAAATTAAAAAAAGAAAACTGAAATAACTTTGCTAAGATGACAAAGAATTTCCAGTGTATTAAAATTTTTAAGAGCTTAATGATAAAAAATGCTGCTGTTTGACTGCTAGAGGGTTTTTATGTTCTCACAGATAAATAAAGCATCCTTTTAGATGATGCATTCATTTAATTAAAAGCATTACCTTCAGAAGACTTGTGTTTAAAAAGAAAAAAAAGTCTCCAAAGACAGTTTGCTTATATAATGTTTTACTATGTAATATCCATAAACTTGAAGTTTACCAATTTCTAAATATCAGTTTGCTTTAGTTTTGCAGTAAGTGTGTTAGCTTTTCTGTAATTATTAACAGTTTCATTTGCATTTGATATGTAAAACTTTTTTGTTTCAACTTTCATACAGGCAAACATCATACTTGAAGTTCCTCCATACCATAACAAAACCATTACAGCTGCAGTTCAGGTGCAGTTTTATCTCTGCAATGGCAAGAGGAAAAAAAGCCAGTCTCAACGTTTTACTTATACACCAGGTATTAAATAAAAAATTGAACAATTGCAATTTAAAGTAGACTTTTGTCTGAAAATAATTCATTCAGTCTTAAACCTTTGACAGATAAATAAGACTACCTTTGAATTGTTTGTAAAACAACTTACTTAAGCTTGTCAGAGTAATAAGCTACAGTGCTGATTACAGCCAGGTATTTCTTTGGTACACTTTTTACAGAATAATTTGCATTGCACTTTTCTTTGTGAATGATGGTGAATCTCAGAAGCTGCTCTTCTAAATAACCCTAGTGATGACACAGAGGACAGTGAGATCATAGAAGAACAGGTTTTACCCCCCCAATGTAAAAAAACCCCTCGTGTTTAGATACAAGGAAGATAAAAGAATATTTTTTGCCCTTTCTGACCGCACTGCAGCATGTTGAGAGAAAACAGTTTGTACCTTAGCCAGAAGCAAAAGCTGTACATGTTAACTGTACATGTAGTTATGGTATGAGGAAGGGGTTGCTACTAAAGATGCAACACCTACTGCTCCTCTACCTGGCACTTCTCTCTCTCTTAAGAAATCCATAGCCAGTTAGAGCAGTCAGAATTCACAAGGTGCAAGTGCTGGCGCTAGACCCTTTGGAGGACCTGAAGTCAGGTATCTGAAGGAATCTTTAAAGTCAGATATGGATATTGATATAAACTTGTTAAAGCTCATGTGTATGCTGACAAAGCCAACTCCCATTAGTGTATGCTATTTAAGATAAGTTTTGCTCACTTGTGCTCTAAAATCACCTACTTTCCTGTGTGATTTAAGCAATGTTACCTCGGTATTTGGTACACGAAATACACGTTAATTATGTTACCAGACTTACATGGTATTTTTCAACCATTCTTGAGAACAACAGCTCCGAAGATACATTTTAAAGACACATTTTAAACTATATTTTTGTTTGAGAAACTCATTTAAATGGTGTAATGACACTGTTTAAATAAGAAGCAAGTTTAATTATAACTGCACCTGTTATTGCACAAACATTTTAAAATCCCTTTTTTCTATAAATATAGATAACAGTTTTTTTAATAGTGTATTGTATAAAGTAGTAATTGAGCAGTTACAAAATTAAGCAGCTAAAATAGAATTCTGGCTTTTAAGCTGTACTTTATAAAAATAATGAAGTGGAGCAAAAGAAAGGAAATTGGAGCAAGGACAGTGGCAGTGCTGTTGTGGCTCTTAAACAGCCGTTGGCTTGTATTTATCACAGGATACAAACGGGCTGGAATTCTAACACGTCGTTTTACTTTCTCTAGTTATAATGAAGCAAGAGCACAGAGATGAGGTGGACTTGTCTGCTGTTCCATCTTTGGCCCTGTCTCACGCAAGCAGCGTCCCGGGCCTGCATTCTATCCGAACTCAATTGCCTTCACCAGAGCAAGGGCATCCACATGACAACTTACTGTCCACGTCACCCAGGAGCCTCGTGTGTCCAGTTCAACCACCATACACAGCAATGGTGACCTCAGCAGTGTCCCACCTGCCACACATGCCAGGTAGAAACCTTAGTCCAAATGAAGAGTGTCATGTTTTGCCTCCTGCTGTTGTTCAGTCTTTTCAGGTAACATCAGCACCTCCTGTGAGGCCTTCCTACCAGCCTATGCAGTCTAACAATGTATACAACGGACAGTCTGGTCTTCCTATGAACTCTGCCTCTAGCCAAGGATTTGATGCTATTTCATTTCAGCAAGACACAGCTGTACCGCATTTGATAAATCTTAGCTGCCAAGCTCTACCACCAATGCAGTTTCATTCTTCAAATCCAGGTTCTGTGTCAACATCAAGCACAGCAGGGCACCCGCTAGCGCACCCAGCTCATTCAGGACAGTCATCTTCTCACCTGCCGTCCATGGGATTCCACTGCCCGAGCGCTGGGCAGGGCTCCATCCCTTCTGCCATGAGTCGGTCCCTCGGGCAGTCTTCTCCTCAGCTGCAGCAAGTCCCATACCATTCTACAAATCCAGTGTCCGCTTCATCCCCATCCCCGACAGCTTCCCACCCTTTGGTCCATTCACCACTGTCTGGACCTTCTTCACCCCAGCTCCAACCTCTGCCTTACCAATCTCCTAGCTCAGGACCTGCCTCCTCTCCCCCGCCAGCTGCTGTGAGTCACTCGGGACAGCACTCCCCTCAAGCACACAGTCCAGTATTGGGAGGTCTTAATGCAGCCTCGTCCCTAGGACACCACCCTGTGTGCGATTCATCTCCATTTTCACCAGATGGGGCAGCTATTAACATTAAACCAGAACCTGAAGATCGAGAATTTAATTTTCAAACAATAGGACTACAAGACATCACACTAGATGATGGTAAGTGGATATCATATTTTCATACTGGGATATAATCTATGTTAACCTACAAAGTGGGTGTGGGAGGGTTGCTTTGTTTTGTTTAGAACGCACTCCTCTTCACAGAAGTAAATTTGTATCATCAAAATGGGGTCTTATTTTTGTGTCCAAAGCAACAACTTATTTAAAACTAATGATCTCGGCTGCAAATCTGTAGTTATACAGTTCAAGTATTTTAGTCTAATTTGCCCATAGACTTTGTTTTTATCATAAAAGAGGGCCTGAGGATTAACGCCTACATATTGACACCTCATGTACAAGGAATTAATTTGAAGCCTTTTCTGATTGTCTTGTTGATATGTTCCAGTGAAAGTCATAATAATATAGATAAGTTGCATAAATGTAGTTTGGAGTCTTGTTTTAGAGTTGTCCCAGTTTTGAAGGGCAGGCTAGTCTTTTGAAAACCTCACACATGCATTTTGGCACTGTCTTAGTCTCCTCACAGACGTTCTGTAGGTGCGCTGTCATCGTTCAGCACCTCTGCTCGCAGTAGCTGTTTGCTTTCTGCTTACCACTCCAGCTGCCTTTTTGAGAAATTCACTTGTTTAACATAAACAGGACAAGGACAGTCTAGGGCTAAAAGCCAGGCTATAAAGTTCTCTAAATACTTGGACAGTGTTAATTTCCAAAACTTGTCCAACCAAGTGAAAAGAAAGAGATATCAGATCCTAAACATCAGACCATTTGAGGCAGAGATGCAAAGCAGTTTAAAGAACATGTCATGTTAATACGACTGGAAGAACAGAAGGCCTGGCCTTAAACGGTGTGTAAAACATGTTTGGTATTGATGATGGGAATCTTACTAGTATCTCTTTTCTACAATAGCCTTAAGTGTTATGGTGGGGTTTTTTAATCATCCCTAGTAATTACTTAATTGCATCAGCAGTAGCGTAAGGATATAAGTGTTGGCCATCTGTTAATTATCCATGTCAGTCCCGGTTTCTTGCATAAATGGAGTTTTGCTATTGTTACTTCCAGTCACTAGGAAGAAAATTTAATAAGAAACGTCTTTAAAGATGCAGCATACTAGGAAGGAAATGAAAGTGATAATATAGTTGGGCTTTCAGTTAAATGGGCACCTTAGTTAACAAAGTTCTTTTTAGAAACACTGTTTATCAACCAACTTTACTGCACTTGGAAAGGACAGAATAGACTGATTCTATCAAGAGACATGCTGAGGGGAGAAGAGCGAGGCTTTATGAAACAATGCAACAAAATAAACAACAAAAAAGCATTTTCTACTTTGGTACTAGAGGAGTGAGAAAGAAATCTAATATTTCAAGAAGTGTAATGTTAGAACCTACCTTTTTCTCATTCCCTTCCCTCCATACCCACAAAAAAGATGTAGAAATAAAAAAAATACAACTAAATACTGTAGTTAAGCTTTTCACAACATAAACAAAAGTATTTAGCATTTAGGAGCATCTTGGCAGTTTGTTTTTATCTGTTCAGAAATTACAATGAACACACAGTAATGAAATCCATTTTTTTCCCTATATCACAAATATTAGTTGCTTTTAGAAACTATTTTGATCACTTAACACAATGAAATTACCAAGTTGTTTCTGTGCTGACAAAGACATCGAATCACAGGAGAAGCTGCAAGAGCTACACTCAAAGTGTGGCCACTTGGTAACAGCTTAGAGGAGTGTAATCAATCTACATACAAGTCAGATGGCTACAGCTTTATCAGTTTCTTTTTTTAAGTAATGCTTGCTAGAGAAGTTTAAAGGAGGTCTGATAACTAGTGATTAAATAATTCACTTCCTATATGGAAAACTGAACGTGGTTTTAAATGCTAAATTAGCACTCGGCAGCAGCAATATGTTTGCAAGCATAAAGAGTATCTTTAATTCAGTTTAATATTCCTGTCATTTGATGATTGCTTGGGGCCTTGGGTTTGGGTTGGTTGGTTTTGTTTCTGGCTTTTTTTTCATTTCCAATCTGCAAATACAAATTAGGGGTTTAGCCTAAAACCTGCTGTTCCAAAAATCTTGAAGGGTATAGTGACAAGAAACAAACTGCTCAATTCTTTCAACATGAGTAAATGCTTCCTCTGCTTAATCAGCTTTAAATAAAAAAACCCCATGTTTAGACAAGAACACTTTTTTAATCATAAATCTAAGGTATTACTGTGGTTTAAAGAATAATTTCAAAATTTTTCTTTTGTGCATAATTGAATTTTAGTTTCTGTACAAGTAGAGCTAGACACAAATAGCAAATCATTTATTCTACATTAATGTTATAACAATTAAGGAAAAGAATCCAAACATAATTGCATACAGAAATGAATGTTGATGCCGTATGTTCTCCCAGCTCATATATCAAACCTGAAAGCTATATTTAGGTGGAAAATAGATTTTTAAGGGTTACCAATTAAGGCAAATAAACCTCTCAAAATAAAACACTAAGGCAGAGCCCATTGAAAATTTTATAAATATCATGTCTGGATTACTGGCATTAAATGTTTAAGTCAGTAATCTTGAAAAAAAGGTAAGGAAAAAAAAAAAAACCCACAACCCTGACAGTATAAATAGTCTTATTTCTTTTAAGTAATGTGCACTATTTCAAAATTAGCATAGTAGATACTGTTTTTGCCAAGAAAATAAAATATTTAAAAGAACTTTAACAAAATTTGAATGTAGTATGGAAGTGCTACCTCATGACAAAATTAGTCCTGGAATTACTAAGTTGTTTATCTTGACAAAGTATGATTTAAAATTAGATTTAAAATTAGTTACATAAATACCTTTAAGCAAGACTCCTAAAAGTGAATCTTACTGCCTCTTCACTCATGCTTTTTCTTCAAAACACATCCAAAAACCCTCTAATCCAGTACTTAATATAAAACTACAAAGCTGCTTCATCCATCAGTGATCAAGCCAAGAGCATCTGGATTAGTCTTGATCCAGCATCTCCTGGAAGGCGAAACACATCTGGATTCACCATTTATAGCTGCTCAGCACAGTCTAGTACACTTGCCAATGACCAGAACAGAGTATCTTTTTAAGTTTTGTTTTATTCCTTTGCCTTTACCGGTTAGAGCAAGCTGGGCTCTGTTCAGACTACAAGTGAAAAAAGATTACATAATTTAAAGGCAGATTAATTAAATTAAATTCTGGGTATCTGCAGAAAGGATATTTCCCCCCCCCCCCCCCCCCCCGAAGTTTGTGTGGTGCTCTGTTTCCTTGTTTTTTTGAACAGGATCTGGTTGATGTCTTTAGGCTTTTCTAATCTCCACCTTGAATTTGCTCTTTTGTTTGGCATCCCCTCTTCCCATTCTTGCTTCCTACGTGAAACACTTTCTAATTCACGTGACAAAACAAGGGATCAAAAGGCATGAGGACACCTAGATATGAAATTCAAACAATATTATAGAAAGCATTTTAAACATACACAATTTCAAAATGCTACCACTGCAAAGGTGTTGTGAAAGACAATACTTCTTTCTGCTTCAGTCTTTGCAGTAGTCAGTCTGCACAAGCTGGTAAACTTTTGGACTGGAACTACATAAATGCAGCTTCTTGCTCTTTATTTGTCCCTCGCTTTTCCTCCTCCACACCCCCCATCCTTAGTATGTTGGACCTTCTTTTTTTCCCTTACCATCTTTCAGCAAGTTTGCCCTCTGCCCAACTCCCCAGGCTACCGTTTCCTGTAGAGCATTTAGGGCTGCACGTAGGTATTAAATAAAGAAGCTGAAATGACAAGAAACAGGCAAGTTGGTAATTACTGTGCTCTCTTGTATTCTCATCTGATGAATGTCCCATTGCTTTCCCACTTGGAAAAATAGCTAGTCAAAGTTAGACTCCAGCTAGTTATCTGCTGAGGCCTTGTTCATTGCCCCCCACACACTTTAGTGTTCCTAGTGGTGGTTTACCTATCCCACTGTCAAGTTTTAGATTTAAATCTATTCTAATACTGTTGATCTAAAATTTAATCTCTTGTGTTTTGCAGTTCAGGAGTGAGTTTGTCTTGGATTTCATGGCTTTCTACAGTGATGAGATTTCTAACATGTACAACTATATTTAACCATTTTTAAGGTATTATGCTGGACTGTATTCAGCAAATCAGAATGACCTTCTACTAATCCTCTTTATATTTTGTTACTCATTGCATCTCCATTACATAAAGCTGGAGATTAGAAAATCTAGTATGTGGATTTACTAGAAATCATAACTAGAAATCCTCTAACCATTTTGTGTACATAAAGCAGTAAGTCTGCTTTGTCAGATGCATTCCACATCGAATTCTAAGCCATTTGCATTCATTCATTTTAATATGTCTGTGATAACTCTCTAGTTGATAAATGCTCTTGCTGGGAAGCTCAGAGTCTGATCTTTGCTGGAAAATTTGTACTTCTTTACAGGTAGCTTTTTACTGTAGCTTCAGCTTCACTTCTGGAGAATCACAGTAGTAACTAATAAGAAAGAATGACCATACTTTGTATTTCTCAATATATTTAAAGCTTGTGCATTAATAGGTCATTCTTAATTAAGGCAGTCTCCTGTCAAACAGAGCACTGAAGGTCTATAGAAACAAAAGATACTGAATGCTAGAGTCAAGCTTAGTATCTCGGAAAACAGCTCAAAAACCTGTCCTCTTGCTGGTGCAACTCAAACTTGAGATGTTCATCTCAAAATCAAACGGTTTTTTACTGTCTCTTAAGCACAGAACAAAATGTCACATCTTGCAGCATGCCCGAGATTGATTTGTGTGACAAGAACTCTGGCTCTAGCCTACATTGCACGTGGAACTCTCAGAATATTCCTGTTGATAAAAGCCATTCTGCAAATTATACTAATATAAACTGTTTAGTAAAGTTGTGTTCAAACTCCTCCTTTCTTAGGATTCTGTATATTAAATATATTGTCAAGCAGTATGGAGATATCAGTAAAAAGCAGTGTACAATTCTAATTCTTCTCATAAGCTTATAGGCTCCTGCAGTGAGATGTTGAGGTTGAGTAAGGTGGTAAGGCAGAGCCTGAAATGCACTGGAAGAGAATGGGAATCTACTTTTAGAAATGGGTAAGTGTTACGAATGAATAAAGAAAGATACAGACACTGAGCAGCAGATTAAAAGGAAAAGACTGGAACAGTGAGGAAAGGTGAAGAGAATGTTATCCATCTGGGGGTGTCAGCAGTTAAAGGATGCTATGACTGTATCTTCTAGTGGATTCATTCACTGTGTGCATAAAACCCATGCCAGCAAGGCATCTACTGAGAAGACCAGTTATAGGTTGCTGACATGTGAAGAACTTCAGCTAAATTCTCAGGTGCCTATGACCAGCTAATGTGTGAACCTTCCAATTTGTGGCTGAGAGCCACAGAACACCTTGGAGCTAACTCAAAATAAGCTCCACTAGTTGCAGATTCCCGTTTAAGAATTGGAAGAGGTTAGAAACTTATTCTGTGAATGCAAGTGGCATGTATGCAGCGTGGTGCAGGCGCTTGCAATAGTAGCTGAACTAGAAGGAGAGGGCGTGCCCTTGTCATGCTGGCAAAAGCATGCTCAGACACTTTGGCACTGCTTTCCCCCGCGCAGCACGTGTCCTCCAAGGTTCACGCTTCATACTTACTATGTTAGACTCATCTGTCTTCTTGTGTGAGAGAGGAGGAGTAAACATATGACTTAAATGAGTTGTTTTCACTGTGGTGTATAAATGCAGTGTGACATCATAACCATGACATGAACAGGGATATTTATTACCATACCACATCACTGCAGAGTTTGGGCTGTGACGCTGCAGTCGCATCCAGTCTGTCTATACAACTATAAACAATGTGCACAGGAAAACTATACTCCTCTTCAGGTCTCTTACAGCCTTCTTTCATCAGTTAATTAAAAAAAAAAAAAAAAAAGTACTTAGTTAAGTTGGTATTGAACTTAAAATTACCAAAAGCAAACCTGTCTTATGGCTTGAAATGCTACCTTGCAAGGCACCCCACCATGTCCCTGATAGTTTGCCACTGTCCTATGAAAAGACTGAGGGGCCACTATAGGTTGGTGGGTTTTTTTGTTGTTGGGGGTGGGGTTTTTTGTTGTTGTTTTGGGGTTTTGTTTGGTTGGTTGGTAGGTTGGTTTTTGGATTTTTTTTTTTTAGGGAAAGTTGACACTGTACTACTTGCTGGTCACATGGAGTCAAAACCAGGCTAAATATACTGCTGTGCCCAATGTGATGTAGCTGGAGGGATCCTTAATATAAATGCAGCTGATAGGACTATCTGGAGCTGACAAAAGGCAGCCTGTATCAAAGGAAGCGTGTGCTTCAAATCTTTGAGATTTGCTGAGCCTCATTACATCTGTAAATGCAGCAATTCACTGATCTGTCCTCAGACACATGAATTCCAAGGTGAATGCAGCACTACTACCAAACCTAGAGAGTTTATATGATCTGCCATATAATTATATCAAACTTCTCTTTGCAAAGACTATTTTAAAAATGCACTCTGTGCTACTTACTCAAGTGACACTGCAAACAAGCATCATTCTAGAATATTTTGGGGGATCTACTTTTCTAAAACCAGTACATGTTCTGGTTTTCTAGTTTTAAGTCCCACTGCCCACACACCCTACTTCAGTTCAGTACTAGTAAAAGAGACACAGCTAAACTTATAATCAGGTAGTTTACTACAGAAATGAAGTTGCGTGACTCCTGCAGGAAGAGATCCTGAAAACCAAAGGTTGAACTCCAGTACCTTTTTGTGTGCCTGTATCTGTAACAGAACTCTAATTTTAAGTTAACTTACTGCTTTGACCCAAATCTGGTGCAGATAATTGAGGTTTTAAAGTTTTTCTTAACCTTTATTTACTTTAAGGGAGGAACCAAGACAAAGAGGTGGTTCATAAAAGTATGAATTTTTGATCAGTTAAATAGATGTATCTACAGGATGCCAGTTTTCTTGATTTCTATTTAAATTTAATAGTTTAAATTTCAGTGTTACATTCTTTGGGTACAAAACACATTTTAGGATTGTTTAAGGCAGTAAAAACCTTTCTCAAATGTTTATGAAATTGAGTTAGAAAGGTATTGTTAATGTATGTTTATCTGGGACCTCAAGTTCTACCTGACTTAAGTGTGTGTTGAACAAAATCCTTATGCTTTAAAAGGCTGTTGCTTTATTTACTGCATTTCACAAACAACAAATATTGTGTGCCTGAGGCAAGTGCATGCTTCATTCCAGAAGGTGCTGGCAGGAGACATGTTACATGTGCTACATGGCATGTTCTGTTAGGAATTTGAAAAAGCAAGAACTCAATAGTGTCAGCAGCTTTGTTAGGACATCAAGAACCTCAGAATCCCTCTATGTATGAAATCAATTAGTAAAATTGCTCAGAATCATATTTCTCTGCTAAAGTGACAGATAATCATTACTGTATAAGCTATGCAGACTTTATGGGGCAGAGACTGTTGCTTAGAAGAGCTAATTAACTCCACTGCTCTCTCTGGAGGCTTTTTGTCAGTGTGTTTGTTGTCTGCTCCTTTGAAAGCCTGAGCTTTAAAGAGGATTGACTGTAAAAGTTAATTTGTTTCATCCCAAGGTAGTTTTCTGCCCATCTCCCTGGATTCATTAGATCTTTATTTAACTGTCACTTTCTTGCTGGTTCTACCATAGTTGTTGGGAAAAATGTTCTTTTCTTAATCTCCTATTATTTTACAAGAATTTGTCCTTCATCCACTCCTTTCCTTCAAAATGGCAGTGGACGTTTTCATTGAAACCCAGATAATACCTCCACTTCCTGTTTAAATACATACAACTTCATGCTTTAAACAAATAAACATAAGACGTTACCCAAAGAAAAGTAATTTAAACTGCTTGAATTTCAGGAGGGAGTAAGAATAGACTCTCATTCTCCCAGGAGTCATCCCTTAGCAGGGCTTAGAAGTCATGCTGGCAAAGCAAATGTATGGCTCTATCCAGAAGGCACACACTAGCCAGTTGCCAGAGTAATTTTGTTAATTATATTAAAACCTAATTTAGTAAACTTGCTGCTCTGTCTTGGGCAGGAGGAAATGGAAAAAACCACCAACAAAACCATACCCAAAACAACAAACAAACAAACCCCAAACACAACCTAGTAGATTATTGTAAGCTTTGCAGAGCCACTAATCACAACTGAATAAGCACACACCTCTTACAGCAATACACTATTCCACATTCATTTTTCCTCTAGGAAGCAGTTGAGCAGAATACAGCTTTCCCCTTCCTCCTTGGTTTCTCACATTACCTTGGTCTGATAGAGCCACCTCTACCACAATAAGTTTTCCAACACTGCAAACTGTTACGTGGCCTGACTGCAGAACATTCAGACAGTCTGACAAGTAAAAGGGAAGCCAACAGCAGTTTCCTTGTTTAAAGAATAGGATAAAGGTTTGATTTACCAGTACTCTTTTGCCTACCTTGTTCAGTGGAGGTTCTGTTAAGGGGCATAAGCACTTTTTAATTTGACCACAGTAAGTAAAGCAGATTGAGAAAATTGGAGGAGGAATATTCTAAACTAACTAGAAATACTAAATTTAGAAATACTAAATTACTAATTTTAGAAATACTAAAATTAAGTTTATGAGGTATAAAATTTATGATGATGCAACTAGGTAGACACCAAAAAATCTTGACCATTACCTTTATGGCTCTGGCTGCTAACTGAAAAGTAGCTAAATGTACGAGAAAAGCAATATTGTTTTTAATAGGCACTCTGATAACTTATAGTTACTTATGTCAACTTATGTAGTAGTTGTGAATGGAACTGGGTACTTAAAGTTAGAGCTATTGAAAGAAAACTGAAAGTCACTTCCTGGTTGAGTGAACTGTAACTTCTTGGTCTAGTCCAGTCAGTAGTTATGTCTGTCTTCTTCTCTGACACAGACAGTTTTATCTCTGACCTGGAATACCAGCCATCAGGTTCAACAGAGAAATGGACTCAACATTCAGCTCTCATGTCCAACTCCTATGTGGAAAATCTAGAGGGTGAGTCTGCTTACTGAAACGCTTCAATGTTGGAAATTGGAGCACGAAGGAAAGGGGAAAGTGTTTTAATAGTCTTAACATCTACAAGTGAAAAGTGCTGTGTAATACTTAAGGATTGCTGTAATTGGACACCTGTGTATTCTGAAATAGTTGGAAGTTCAGACATTGGGAACCAGGTGTACACTCAGTCAGTAAAAACCTCCACTTGAAGTATATATAGCTGCCACAGAACTTCCTGAGTGCTTCAGGATCTAGTAAAACAACAGAAGAGGATAAGAAAATCTTAAGCCAAACATGGGCAAGGTTGTAGAGTGGCCAGATCAGTTAACTATGAGAAATTAAGAATGTTTCTCCTTTTTTAAAAAGAGGAAGCAATGTCAATTTAACTAGATGGAATACAGTGGCATGCACTGCCAATCAAAGTATTAGAAGTACAGGTTTTGTAAACAGATTTCTAGTTGAATGTGCACTAGAATTGGGAAAGATTGTCTGGTAAATCCAGCATTTTAAGATGCTTTCAGCTTCTTTATTTCAAGTATAAACAACCTAATTTTGCACTATGAATCTTTTAGTAACAATATTAGATATTGATGCATGGTATACTGGTTGTGTTTGTGTTTATACTCATTCTTCTTAAGTGTTTTTCATTTTATTACAAACATGCCTAAAATGCCAAAGAACTATACTGTCCTTTTTTTTCTCTCAATATAAACATACATACATACATAAACACATATAACACACTGTACTTTCCCCATAGATTTTTAAAGGGGAATACCTGTAAGTGCACAGTAGATTTGGGATTGTTAACAGTAAAGTAACCAAGCTCACAATTAGTGTGCAGACTGATCTTAAGTTTGCCCATGAAGCTAAAATAAATCACAATGTTGGTCTTTTTCCATCTTTCAAAAAAATCCCTTAGTTCTGCTTTCCTTATACATCAAAATGTTATTAGTAAGGTAAGTAGCTACTATTCAGAATGGCAAAACAAGGGGAAAAACTTTGTGCACTAAGGTGACAGGTCTGTATCTTGAAGCAGCAAATCGATTAGTAAAATACCAGATATGACTTAGATTATTTCTGTGTTCTAGACTATATCCTGTACAACTCGGGTAGGTACAGAATAATTGTTGAAGAGCAGGAGTTCTTGAAAAATTAAAACTCAATTTATTAATAAAATAACCTCCAAATATTAGTATCATCAACTAAAGAGTGACACACAGGTTGGCAAACCCCAAACCCAGAATTATGAAATGTATGCCAACAGATCCCTCTTAAAAAGTGCACACAGACAGAAAACCAGACCCAGAGAGAAATATGCTTACACACAAATGCTGGCGTCTAAGAACACAACTGAGAAACATGGCAATTTTTTAGCATCAAAATAATGGGTATTTTGTGTATTTGATGTAAGAAAGATAGTCAGTGTGCTACTAACACAAGAGAGGCATTTACACAGGAAGGTTAGTAAAGTGGTTCTGTACCCTGAAGAATGCCAAGTGTCAGACAGACAAACTGCCTCAACTAGTAGTACAGAATGCTTCCAGATTTAACTTCCAGGAAGAGTATAGCTTCTAAATTACGCTGCTGAACAGGAGAGCAGCCATAACTATGGTGTGCTGCAGAAGATCAGACAATCTGCAAAGGCAGGAAATACACTAATGGAATACTTGAGTCATCCTTGATAGAACGGGTAAGTGTGATGACTGCTTCATGGAGCTTCAAGTCATGAGAGGAACCCACAAGAGGAAACATCTCTTTATTTGGTCCAAAGGAGCATACAATAAGTGCTTAAAATATATAAAAGTCTTTGTTTCTTAGCAGTTTCAGCATTACAGGCTTCAAAGGGGAACTACAGGGGAAAAAAAACAACTTACTTAAAAAATAGGTGGTCAAAAGGGTAAAATTGGTTGCAAGCAGTCTGTGAACTATTTATGAAGGTTCAGATTAAGTGTACAACTACTCTGCAGTGAGAGAGACTACGAGCTGCTTCTGAATGCAGAACAGAACATGAAAATTACTAGGTTAAATGTGAAACCTGGCCAACAGATGACAAATCAGGAATTCACTTAAAATTAGATAAATGAACTTAGCTAGTTTTTTGTACTGGGGGTCACAGTTGAGGAACCTAGAGATTCTCATGCCAAAGTCCTTTGAGAAAGGGACATGTTGCAGGACCAGTCTCAAGTTGAGATGTCAGTAAAAAAGTTTCAGAACAAGCAGATAAAACAGACAGTGAGAATTAATCTCATCCATATGACATGCCACTCAACACCTCTGAAAGGGTAAGCAACATTGAACTATTAACTGTAATGTGTAACCTGTTGCTTAAATCTGATTTGGAGCCACTGGACTAGAAGTTGGTAGATGCAATAACAGCTGCTGCTCAGCTATTCAGAGTAGTAAAAACCAAAAACTGTCTAGAAACTTCTACAGGAAGACCTTGTGATTAAAGAAAATCAGTAAGTTACAGGAGAGGAAATTAGGGTAAGGGAAGGAAGAAAAAAAACCTGCCCTAACTCCGTACATACAGTGACAAGCTCTCTGAACTATTCTCATTTAAAGCAATCATGAATTTAAAACAGACAACCCTACCAAAACTTGCTCAGTAGTGTTAAAAGTAGTCTTAAAAGGGTGAAGGAATGCTAGGAATAATTAGGAAACCAGCAGAGAATGAACTAATGCTGCTGTAGAGATGGGTTATGTGCCCACATCTTGTCCGTGATGTCACAAAAGAATTAGATGCATACATGTTGTTTTTGTGGGGTGTTTTGGTTAAGGACAACTCGCACAACCAAAGATTTGGAGCCGAAGTTATGTTGAATCAGCTAGGACTCCTCAGCTGCAAAAAAAATGAATGAGGAGAGTACGCTAAGGATAATAAAATGAATGGGTGGCACAGAAAAGAGAATGGAAAATAATTCTGGGGAGAGAAAATAATAAAAGTGTCCACCAAGAAATCATGCAGCAAGTTCAACACATACAAAAGCATTTTAACAGCTATATATCGTTAAGCTTTAGAACTTCCTGGCTCCAAACATTGCAGATGACAGGATTTTGCCCAGACCTAAAAGATCCCGGGGAAAAAAATTCAAATGGGACCATTCGGCACGAAAGATGCTGTCTCTGGCTCAGGAGTTCCCTAGGAGTAACACATTTGGAGGCTGGGGAAGCATCATGGTGTGTTTTTGCTAGGTCTCTACTATTGCTCATTACCTACCTGATGGTTTGTAGTCTGAACTGACTGGTTTGCCTGTAGTTCTCTGTGGAGATTTTCAGGCAATATTTTTGACCTACAAAACCCTAAAATGTTTGGGATCTGCCTGTTAGAGGGATCTTCTTGTCCTTTAGGAAGTATAGATGCTGAATACAGATTACCAGCTTTCTGCAAGGGAAGAGAGGTCACTTGCACTATTTCTCAGAAAAGCCTTTAGGTTCAGGAATTGCTTATATTTTCCTCTGTGCTCCAGTACAAAATATGTGTCTCAGCATCACAGAGACGGGGAATTAAGTACAGAGCAATTTAGAAGCATGCTAGTATTTGGTCAGCATTTGATTTAGAAAGATAATGCCTTCTGATGTTAGAACTGCAAATGCCTATCTTGGAGATCATGCTCCAGCTAAATGTGTTTTTATTCTAATATAAAACTTTCAGTAACATGATACAGGTATACAAATTGACTGACAAATTATGGATTGGTCTCACACTGAGAGAATAAATTAAGGTGACGTTGTAGAATTGATTAAACAAACCCCTGGGGAATAAAGCATAGTTCTTATAAATGTATCAAAGCACCATTTCCTCTTTTAAGAATTTGTTACTCTTAGATTTTTAAGTTTGGGGTTTTTTTTTTTTATTTTTCTAAACCATTCGGCAACTTACTATTAAAAGCACGAGCTTTCACGATGTCATATTTCACAACACAAGAGTTTTGTTCTATTGAAATGAGCTAACACGGATAACTTTTTGTAGGTGAGAATTTCTCCCGAGAGGTCAGTCAGTACTGCTCACAGGACGCATCTCTGTTGGAACAGCTGATAAGTGTCACTCACCGCACAAATGGCTGAGCTGCTCAACCTAATTTTAGTTTATCTTAAAACTCTGCATTGCAAATTGCAGTAGTTATAAGAGATCTTCATCAACGTTCTGGCTGCTCATGCAGCAAACAGCTGGAGCAATAACTTTGTCAGCTGTCCCAGTGCAGGTCTTCAGTGATGAAGAAGCAAAGCCCTCAGCCTAAAAGATAAGGGTGGAGGAAGAGGCCTCCAAGGAGCTGTGGCCCAGTTTTTTATCAGCCTCAGTGGCTCAGCTGCCCTTCGTGTGTGCAGTCAGTAGGGACTTAAAAAGGCAAACAGAATGCTATGTGAAATCAAAACAATGGGAACAACCCAATCAAACAGAGTATGTGGTTGCTCTTGTTTTACAAGCTTGACAGCAGATCCAGAAGTCAGAGCTAGTTATCTGCTACTCTGTTCTCTATTGATGTTAGAATGCTGCTTAATTTTTTTGAAAGGTTATAGGGGCTTAAGCCTCCAGGTGACCTTTAGTGGTTTTTTTTAAATGGAGCATGTTCATGCTTTTTTAGTGCAGCACAGAGGGAGAAGAACAAAACAAACAAACAAAAAAAGTCACAGAAAACCTTTGCAATACAGTACTAGAGTATCACCAATATTGACGGGTCCAATCTAATCTGTCTGTAGAAGGTTTTCTCCCTATCATGTTAAATTCTGTTCTACACAATCTATTTTTAACTATTAATATAAATTTACCAGCCTGCTTACACTATGTATAAATACTAGAGAAGAAAAAGGTGAAACTAAAGTAACAGCTGAAATTCTGAAATCTGGGATAACTGCCAAAGAGGTCAATTAAATAGACATAGGCAAGTTGTGAAAATCATTTCCATTTCACAACCCAATTTAAAAGAAAAATAAAAGAAAAGCTGTATTGCATTTTGATCCATGCCCTATCTGACAAACAAGTTTTCAAAATGTAGTTATCACTTTTGTAGTGGAGGAGTCTGCCATGTTTCTGTACAGTGTAGTGTGTGCCACCCTCTCTCTCTTGATCTTATCCAGTCACTATTTCAAGATGAGCAACCTGGATTGTTAGCACAGAAGACGTTTGCTAACACTTCTGATGTTATCCACTCAATTGACACTGATCATCCAAAACAATCTTAAGAGAGCGGCAGGTACTAAATATTAGCTAGACCTCTGTAACTATTTAGTATGTACAATACTTCTGATTCCTCAGCTCCTGACAGTAGAGGTCCAGGGTATGGAATTAGCAGGCAGAACACCTAGCACCAAACAGGTAGTGATTTAATACTGAGGTTAAAAAAAAAAAAGTCGCATGAGATTGGCACTCTTCAAAGAGGCAGTAGAAGTATAAACTACACAACACAAATGAACCTGGCAGACAGACAATAGAGAATCTTAACAACATACTTGACATCTGTATTACTGAGTCCTGAACAAGCTCTGCAGCCTTCCCCTGGAAACTTTTGCTGAAGAAAGAAAGGAAATTTTATAAAAAGTGCGTGCACGTATTAAGAAAAGCCATGCCTCTTGGTTTCACAGTATCTAGTTGCTAAATGAATGGCTTTTAAGGTTAAGCAAAAGGCACATGAAATCTTTCTAGCTATATTTCTAGGACAGTGTAGCCCATGCATTCCATAGTCAAAACCAGGAAAGGTAGGATAAAGTGTTCTTCTGGAGGTATAGAAAAGGTTTCTTTTGTTTGTAAAGCATTGTCAGTACAGCCTGAACTCTGTCCTTTCTTGGGACTGTTGAAATTGACTTCTCTCCCAGTTTGTCACCTAAGAACTTGGATTTTGGTAGACAACATTATAGAAGACCTATGTTTATGCTGATTAATTAAATTTTCAGTTTTAATCACAGATGACTAAAAGTTCTGTGATTGACCCTATGTGGAAGAAGGTAGTGTGTCATGCATTCAGTCACTAATCTTTGGATTTCTACTTTAGTTTTTAAACTACTAGAGTTTTCTCCATCACAAATTAATACAAAAAGGAAAATAGCATGTGATTTCACCTTCAGTCTCGTATCATTTCTATCCAGGATTTTAACACTTCTTACTGACTACGTGATCTACATTTTAAACTTCTTTAATTTATACCACTCCACTGTCAGAAAGACAAATTAATTACAATAATGCTGGTAAAGACAGGATGTCCTTCATACAAAGCCAGATGCTTCCCTCTTTAGGTATATACAGGCATCTCATTATTAGCTGCCTTAAAGCTGAGTTGTACATCTCTTCAGGGAGCTGTTCCAAAGGACTTCCAGGCTGCTTAATTTTGGTAAATATTGAATATGGCTTCTTCACAATGTTTTTTTCAGGCTTTAAAAGACCAGCCACCTCTAGAAAAAGCTGCTTTCCTGGTTTAAATGCGCATTCCTCCATCTTCTAGCCATCACGCTAGATGGGTACTGCCCCCTGTCCCCGTCCATCCCTCCCACCAGCCAGGCAGGCAGCAGCCCAGGCCTCGCTTAGCTTGGTAGCGCGTCACTCCAGATACTGTCCTGCCCAGCTGGCTCAAACCTGGCAGGCAGACTATTGCACCACAGCAGGTTAGAGCACTTTGATCTCAGCTGCTGGCTTCTGCAGGCTCTGCTTTCTTTGAAGCGTTTTTACCATCATCTGTACATAATCTAAATCAGTGTAGAGTCTCCCAGAGTCTGCAGGCTTCCCCCTTCCATGTGTAGCTTACAGATTTCCAGACAGCTGAAATGGGCACTCTTGGAAAGTATAAAATAGGAACATACGGTAGTCAGGAGGCTAAGGTCTGTGAAAAAGTGAATAGACACCTTTGCCAGACACAGCAGAAAAAGGATTCCAGCCTTTCATTTAGGCACATATGGTGCTCTGACAAAACACTGATTTGAATACTTCTTATTAAAAAAAACCCCAAACAACACTTGAATACTGATTGGTTTTAAAAATTAGCAATCCTAACAAAATCACTGTGGCAAGTAAAACTGCTCCACTAGAATTCTCTTTTGGGAACATGACAAGGTACTGCATTTCCCTTAGAAATAGTAGATGTTTCTAATGTAAATCCATATAAACCAGATACACCTGTATTGGCCACATTATAAAAATGTTGCCAGAAAAAGTTCTCCAACAGCAAAGTAAAAGTTATGACAGAGCTATCACACCGAGCAATAAAACAGCTTCTTGTAAACAAATCTATGATTATTAAAAAAAATAAAAATCACGAACTAACCTGTACCTTTAATTTAATACTCTACATAATGAATTATGCAGAACTTTGGCAAATAAAACCCCACATGACCAGCTGTTGTATTCACAGTGTAATGTGATTTAAGGAAAATTAATGCTGCATGGCTACATGCTGTGCAGTCTGATAATTTCAAAATATAAAAGATATTTATCTATGTTGCTTTTTATTGTACTGCTCATCAAAGTTTTAGCAGTGCTGAACAGCTGCAGTACTCGATTTGCACAAAGCAACTGTTCAGTAGCATGCAGTAGATAATAGCTGTTAGAGGTCCTGTAGTTAGAGCAAGCTAATGGGTGCCCTGACTGAGCATAGTTCTGAGGGAACATCTACATAAAAAAAACCAACCCCACACAAAAAAATCAGCAACTTGGTTTGTTAACAGCTGTGTACTTATGCATTGTGTTGGCATAATAAAAATACTTGAAGAAGTATCCTATCTGCAGTCACAATTTTCAGTGTCATAGTGTCAGTTAAGTTCATTGAATGAAAGATTTTTTTCAAGGCAAATAAATTGCAAGTTTTGTAATGCTCGAGGGAATTGGTTATTACTTAGCTCATCTGAACTGTTTTAACCTTTGGGTGTTTTTGACAAACTGTCCTTGCAGTCATGCAAGAGAATACCATTGCTATTGATTGACTCTGAGATAGCAAATACCTCCTCCATGGTTACATATGGGTATATAACGCAAGATGATTTTAAAGCTTCCTTAAGTAAACTAAAGAAATACCGACAAAACTTGTTTTCAGAGATGGATTTTATATACATTATACATACTTCAGTGCATTCACAATATTACCGCATTTTCTTTCAGACCCACTTATTTATGCTGGTGCTGCAGCAAAAGGCAATGCTCAGACTGTTGAACATTCTATAAACATAAAGAGCAAGTTATACTGCCTGCAGATTGATTTTGTTATGCTTCTGCCAGACAGGAATGGTCAGTAAGAAGCTAAATCCTGCTATGGAAAATTAAGGAAGCATTAAGAAGGGTGGTTAAGTATAGCAATATTGTTCTGTAAAGTTACCTAATGGAGAACAAAAGAGCAAAAGCCTAGGTTCCAAATCTGTTACAATTTTCAATAAAAGCAGCTTACTAACAAAACAGGAAGTTCTTTCTTTTACTAGGAACGGTCCTTATTCAACAAAAGGATCCCGTTATATGCCTGTTTATCGAAGGTCCAAACAAACTCACATCATATTCAAAGTCGTGCTGAGTAAGAGATACTCTATACCTACTGCCACTCAATCATGGAAAACAACATGATTGACTGCCTCATCTAACTATGAAATAATAGTTTATATTTTGGTTATTATCCAATATTTATTGAAAATTTGTCATTACTATTTAATGTGATATTTTTCTTCACCACTTAGGAGATTATTCCTTTTTCTTAGTTAAACTTTCCATTGTGTATTTTGGAAAGTGGACATTTGTATCACTACATTTACAACTATCCATTAAAATAATTTTTTTTCATCTTACAAACTCAATTATACAGCAATCAAATATCTAGGCTTAGAGTAACACTCAAAAATTGTCATTTGTTGATAACACGAGTGCTACTTTGTTATATTCACAGTGTCGTCCCTCACTTGTAAATAGTAATAGTTGCCCAATATGTGCTGAATTTGACATGCACACTGATGTGACCTGCATATTAGTCAATCTGAATTCTTCACTAAAGAAAAGTTGACTGGTAACCAAGAAAGGTTTTATTACTGCAGTTTCAGAAATGCAAGTACTCAGAAAACTGGCCAATTAAATAGGTAGACATAAGACTTCATATTTTACTAACCCTAATCCAAGTTCTGAGGAAGTTCTGTAAGTAGCTTGAAAAAGCCAGGAGTTATTAGAGTTAACTTGTGCCTGTAACACTCCTGAACACGGAGAGTTCTGGGGGGAATTCTGTACTAAACTACCTATGCTGTGCCTTTCCATTACCTGGATGTCATGACTATGTATGTACCTATTTTCTTCAAGTGTTTTAGGGACTCTCCAACATGGATTATGGTAAGTACATAGTGTAATATTAAGAGAAACAAGGACTTTTCCCTCCCCTTCCTTGTTCATCTGTTACTGAAGTTAGATTCCTCATTTATCCTCTGTTACTTAACTGCATCGAGGTTTAGCATTGAAATATTTCTTTGTAAAAGGGATACACTGATAAGTTCTGCCTTTTGGAAAGCATAAACACAGTTACTTTTTATTTTTTTTTTAATTGTAGTGAATGAGATCATAGGAAGAGATATGTCACAGATCTCAGTGTCACATGGAACAACAGCAGCCAGCCAATCTGCACGTACATGTCCTGGATCTCTGGAGACAAGAATATCTGATGGAATCCAGTAACGGATAAGCTTACAACTAAACATTCATGAAAACTTAGCAGTTTCTCTGAATATTTCTTCATCCTCTTCCTCTTTAGACTTACTGTGCTTCCAACTCTGTGGCCTTTATGAACTGGAACAGTGGATCCTTGCAAAGCCCTTTTAGCGGGTTACATTTTTGATGTAGAGACAGAGCATTTATAATTATAGTTCCTCAGATGCTGTAAAGAGACTTCTTAAAATGGACACACAGAACCTACACCAGATATTTTAACTGTTTTAAAGTTACAAACAAGCTTTGCTTTTTGCATTTAAATAGAATACTTTTATATTGTAAGTGCTTCAGATGTGTGGAGATGTTAGTTTGCTCTTATAATATTCACAGTACCGAATGTGGAAAAAGATTTAATACACATCTTCAGTGTGCTGCTTTCCCTTAGAGATAGTAGAGTTTGTAACTGATGATTTGTTAACACCTTTTGGTCGTTTTGGAAAGCCTTTAAGCTTATATTGTTTAATTTTTTTTTAGTCTGATCTTCCAACGGCAAATCATACCTGTCATCTGAAGCCAATGCCATGGAAGCCATTGTGTATGCAAATACTGTAGTGTTTTCTTTCTTAGATTCATAGGAAGCAAAGCCAAATGTAGATCTGCACTTGTTTATAAACTGAAAATGTTACTTGATAGGCTGCAAAAAGACCATTCCATCATTAAAGTGTTGGGATAGAAATGACATTCCAAAATTTAACTTTTATAACTTTGTGGATAATCTTCCTGTTCTTTATTAGTACAGGCTCCTTCTTGAAATAGCTTTTTCTTAGAAAGTTACATTTGTAATCAAACTTGAGCAGTAGAATTTTAGATTAAAGAACAGCAACATCAAAGCCATGTTAGATACAGGAGAAATTTTAATATTTGCTGAGGATCTAAGTGTTCCTATTATCCCTACAGAATATGGTTTTGAAATCACCGATTCAGTGGCATTCAAGTTTTCCATGCAATAAATCATTCGATCACATCTGTATCTTTTATATGCTGTATGCCTGACCATGCCACTTGGAAGTCCTAAGGAGATGACAATTATATAAATGACAAGTTTATAAATGTCAGTTTGCTAAAAAGTAGTTTACTGTGAAATACTGATTAAGTAGTATAATTTGCCCATGTTTAACTGTGAATGTGTGAAGCAGAAGCTACCAAAGAAATACACAGGTTTCATAGCAACAGTAGACTTTGTGCTGTGCTCCAAGGATGCATTTCCCTTACCTGTATAATCTGATACATTGGAAACAATCAGTTTACATAGTTATTAAAAATCTCAGGCCTCTATGATTAGAAACCTAGGAGAGGATCTGAAACTGCCTGCCTAGGCCACAAACATTTCCCTCCCCCAGAAGACAGTGTTCTTTACAAAGCTTGCTGACACGGATCATACAGGATACAACAATCATGGCAAAGTAAGATCAGAAATACACTGAACTTCAAAACATCTAAGATGTTAATTTCAGATCCTCATTTGGGTGAGCTATGATGCTCTAATGAAAATTAAGAGTGAATACACTCAAAAATATAGAAAGTGTGTTTGCATTGAAACTAGTTCAGACACTTATGGCCATGGTAGTGGTTTTAACACATCTGGAACGCACGTCTCACTCTGTAGAAAATTACTATCGACTCTGAAAATTACAGTAAAATGGTCTTAAAGTGGATACTGTTCCTGAATTGCAGTACCTGTAAGAGTGAGTAAACACAGATTCTGCTGATGTTGCATTTTGGCAGACAGTCATGGGGAAGACTTTCCATGGAGCCTTTTGCAGGCAAAACGTTACACCTAAATTTAAGTGAGCACCCGAGCAATACCATTAAAGTAGCTTTAATGAAGCAGGTGAATTATAACTCTTAAGAGTTGCAGCCTAAGGCTACTATCTTGATGTTTCATAGTTATTTCCAACAAACAACTTAATGCAAGGCCACTGTGTGCGTGCTGGGAACCTTAAGCATCCTTTCTGTGAATGTACTGTTCAATGGTGCAAATCTTAAAATTTGCAGGAAAAAAATGGCAGGGCTGTATGTAATCTGAAAAGTGTGATATTGTAATTGTCCCTCAGCGATGGTGCTTTACTCTGTCCTCTACTTATTTACGTTAAAGATCCTAGAAAAGGATTCACATGCTCACAAATACATCTATTTATGTTTTTAACACTTAAAAAAAACCCAACCAAAACCAAAACAAACCAAAAAAACCCCAAAACACAACACTGTAAACTATGTAATTGTCTTCAGACTGTGTGCTGGTGGCAAGGCATGTTCCAGTTTTCATTCATGTATTGGGTCTTTTGCATTAACCATTGTTTATAGGAGAATTCTAACTTAAAAGCTTTTCATACTGTATGGGATTTATGCTCCTTTATCCTACTGGTACAGACTGTCCTTGCAAGTTCTCCAGGTAGCTGGAATTCACACTGTACCTAAAATATAGGAGCCAAAACAATCCGGAGTTGCTATGCACTAAATTTTCTGATGCCTTTAAATACCTTGATGCCTGTAGACATAGAGACGCTTTCCTATTTAAAAATGAAATTAAAAAATATAGCTTTGGATACTAAAGCAGTTTTGTATTTGCCTTGTAAAAGCTTCAATACAAGGGTCTTAATTTTATTTTAGCTTGTGCGATAACATAGGTAAAGACTGTTAATCTTGTATAATTTTAGTGATATAAAAAGCACACAATCTCTATTGGACTATGCAAATTTAAGTAAACAACAGAACCCGGCAACTGTTGATATTTTGTTGGCATCCACTTCCTTGCCCTTAAGTCCTTTCTTCTCCCTGAGAACTTTTCCAGAACTTTTTAATAATTTAGATTATCCTGAAGGAAAGCCTTAATGATGAAGTAGCTTTTCTATAAGGAGGGTCAAAGATCAATGTTAAAAATAAAAAATTAAGGGGTAGTATATTAATCCCGGGGGGGGGGCGGCACAGGGTGGAGGGTGATTTCTGAAATTACCATAAACTAGCAATCTGAATTTCTGTAGTAAAACTTTCATGTTATTAGGGAAACTGCCATCCTTTTTAAACCAAAGAATAAAAATAACATGACAGTTTTGTTCTGATGCAAACAAAGCTTTGAAACTCTATTTTTGATACTCATAATGGATGTCATTCCTCGAGGTTTGGAAATCGTTCAAATTGAAGTTTTATATTTTAAAAATGTGGGACAATAAAGATTAAGTTCTAGATGTTTACAGAGCCTTGTATTGTAATTTCATGTACATTTTGTATTTTAAACATTTTTGTAAGTTATGATTGCAGTGCTACTTGCAGAAATAAAGGGAAGAACTTGCATTTAAGCTCTTAAATCATAGTGTTCAAATAAATGAAAAGAATGCAAATGTGTTGTCATTTATTTAAAATGCAGACCTAAGCTGAGAGTGGGAAGAAACTCCCTGTTTGCAATGCAGTGGTAAACAGCTATGCTTAGTTGTCACATATTAAATGAGGGACGTTTACTATTCCCCCAGAAGACTAGTGATTTTTGAAGCAATGTGATAAAAGTTCAGGGCTCAACTTAGAGGCAGCTACAGTGAGCCTACACACAACGATCAGCAGTGCCAACAGAGGATCAGTTTGCACCATAACTAGTGAATTCCTATTTGCAAGTCTTGTTTCAATTAGATCATCACAAGATTATTTTGAGAAATGATTCCAGAAATTATTATTCAGGGAGCACATCCTCAGCAGTAATTGACATTCCTGCACACCTGCTTAAGTGAGAAAAGGAGCAGCGATCACACAGGGATCTCCTACTCACACTGCACAGGGAGAACTTGGGCCGGCTTCGGATTAGCCTCTTACTTAGAGTGTGCGTCCTGAGCCATTACCTTCACCAATGGTTTTTATTTATAAGTAGCTGCAGTGCCAGTAACTGAATGCAAAGTAATTATATCTGAGTATTCCTCAAAATAGCACCAGGAGTTTGAAAGCTGTTCCACATGTTTTCTGGTATGATTGCCCAGTATATAATTAGCATATACCAGCACTAGTAAGAATCCACGGACTGACTGTGTATATTTTACTGTCAATTCAAGTCTTTCAGATGCAAACAGGCTGAAGGCTGATTCATTAAGATTGATAGGATAGGAGAGATGACAGGATATGCAGTCACTCCAGGGCATTGAAAGCTGAGCCCGGCTAATCCTGAGCGCTCACACCAACACCCCTCTCTGCTGTACTGCAGAGACTTTATTCCAAGCACTGAAAACATCACTTCTGCCTTGCACAACACTGTTTTGTAATTTCAGGTAAGGAGAGCAGGAATGTTTTGCTAAAGTCAGTTCCTTAAGAACGGTAGTCAGGTTTCTGTTCCTTTAGGACCAAGAGGAAGTGCTGGCAGAAATTAAGGCTTTTTAATTCTCTTACTGTAGCTAGTATTTCCTGACAATATTCCACAGCCGTACTTGTGCTATCTTCTTCCCTCTGCTTGTTTCTGGACTTTTATCCCTCTCCCTGCCATCTCTCCCAGCCTAACTCAAAATACCACTGAGTGTTTGAAATCCAACAATTACTCCCCAGTAGTGAATTGGGTGAGGACTAAGATCTTTTCCAAACGGTGTCTGTCCCCCCCCACCCTTGGCTTTAATGAGTTGACAAGAATAATATTCAGGAACTAGGCACTGCTGGAGTGATTAAAGTATTAAGGTAAGTGAAAGGCCATTAAGAGCATACTCAGTCCAACACGGAAAAAAAAAAAAGGATTTCTAATGTTTTTAAACTCACATAGTTTTGCACACAGACTTCTCTGGCAGTGGAAGTTAACAAGAAAGCTGGGGAGGGACTTTTCATAAGGGCAACTAATGACAAGACAAGGGGAAATGGGTTTAAACTGAAAGAGGGCAGGTTTAGATTAGATATTAGAAAGAAATTCTTCACTATGAGGATGGTCAGACACTGGAACAGGTTGCCCAAGGAAGTTGTGGATGCCCCCTCCCTGGAAGTGTTGAAGGGCAGGCTGGATGAGGCTTTGAGCAACCTGGTCTAGTGGAAGGTGTCCCTGCTGATGGCAGGGGGGTTGGGACTAGATGATCTTTAAGGTCCCTTCCAATCCAAACCATTCTATGATTCTATGATACTGAACTGTACTCTGCCTACTATAAAGGGTAACATTTATCAGTCGTTCTTAACACACAAAAAGCATTGTCATTTGCTAAGATTCTCTAAGAAACTAATTATTTTACTGCCTACTCTTACCAGTAACATCTGTTACATGTAATGGAGAATAGAAGGAAAAACATTAACCAGACTTCAAGATAAAGCAGCGATAAAGATAGGATACTTGCTTTGCAAAGGCTTGTAGGTACCATGAATTTTGTTTTAGAAAAGATTGATCTGCTAGAGAAGTCAAGCTACACAAGTTCTCCATGCCATTTCTGCAAATTTGGAGTGAAGTTTTTGTTGGTTGTTTATTATTAATTATTATTTAAGGTTTATTTAAATATTGCCTGAAAACTAAAAAAAAAATAAAATAAAATAAAAATTAAAAAGGTACTTTTCCTTACTGTCATTGTTGTGACATCTGCTGGTAAGAGCTGGAAGAGTGTTTGTAGTCTGTGCTTGCTCCCATTACATGGGCTCTCCCTCCAGAAAAAAAAAGGTCATTCCATGATATTTCTCATTTAACACCTTTATTAATAAAAATACCTTGTTAAGCGTTGGTGCAATTGATAAATAGATACAAGAAAACACCAAGAGCTCATGCCTAAATAAGCTAAACAGAAGTCGAATCAAGCTGCCTGTACATAGCTTAGCCTGTTAACAAGCTATGTTGGCTTCTGTGCATATTTAGTAATTTAGTCCTGACCTCTTAATACACTGCAGAAAGAGTTAAACTTTCCATAAAGAAACACTTAGGACATCCCCCAAACCCAGTCACGTATACATGGTGATAGTGAAATGGAAGCATCTCAGAGGAGAGTAATAAAATGGTCAGCAAATGAGCAAAGAATAAGGAGAAAGAGAGTCGCTATTTGTTTTTTCAACAAGGCCATGTTTTGGTGCAAGATCATTAATTAACAAACCCAATCTTGTTAAGTCTTCACATCTAGAAAACATACATATAAATCTTTCTTAAATCAGCCATTTGATGCCCAAGGGCCTCAGCCCTTGCAGATATATTTC